GGGGGGGGGGGGGGGAGGAGAGTGGCAGGCAAAGGGAAAAGCAGGCTCCCCGCTGAGCAAGAAGCCAGATGCCAGACTGAATCCCAGGACCCTGGGATCATGACCTGAGCCAAAGGCAGATGTTCAACTGAGTGAGCCACCCAGGCATCTCTTCTATCATATTCTTTATACTGTGGATATGTTCTCTTCTTGTGATTTCAAGACACAAATGTTAAGTTTTATGCAAAAAAAATCACACACAAATTCATTTCTGAAAGTTTAAAGTTTACCCACATAGATACACAAGTAATTAGAGCCTAGGACTATATTTTCTAAGTAATTACTATAATATAAAATATTAATGGCCTAAGTAAAAACTATTTTAAATCATTCTGCTTTTCAGAAATAAATTTCTTATTAAAAACACTAAAATTACTTCCAAATCCTGTATAAAAATTTAACTTACCAAAATACTCCTGAACAACCATCACATACAAATGGAAGAAAATCTAAAATCGAGGGGAAAATGTTATATGCACTGGTCAGTATGTGATTTTGATTTAGTTTTCTTAAAAAGATTCTTAAGGTACTGAACTACATCTATAGGAGAACTCTTCTTTTTGACCAATATCCTAGTGTAGGAATTCGTGGTTAAACCAAAGCTATCAAAACCTCAAGCACTCTGGGAATGACTGGATTATCAGGAGAAATGTTCCTTGTAGTAGTGTGCTAGATCAGGAAAAAAAAGCACTGGGATTTTTTGGATGCCCAGATTTATTATGTGTTGTTTCTGAGTACTGTATGCTGCAAAAATCTTGTATTTGAAGTGAAAATCCTGGGTTTCAATTCTGATTCCACAGTTACTAATCTAGCAATGCTAAGCAAACTGTTTAATAGTAAAGTTTTGTGGGGGATAAGAGGAAGATGTCAGCATAGGAGGATCCTGAGCTCATCTCCTCCCACAGACACACCAAGATAACAGCTACATCTGAAAAACACCTGAAAACATGAAACAGACCTTCCAACGCTTAATCCTACAGAGGGAGAACACACTGGAAGGGCAGGAGGGGTGGAGACACAGTTGGGAACCAAGCCTGTGGTAAGACTAACCATAAACAGGAGGAACACAAGCACAGAAAAGCTAGAGAGGATCAGAGCCCAAACCAGGCACCCCAGCTACTGGGAACCTGCACTGGGAAGAGGAGTCCTCATAATATTGGGCTGTGAAAATCAGTGAGGCTAAACTTCAAACTTTTAAAATCAGTGGGGCTCACCTCCAGGTATTTTAAAAATCTGAGAGCTGGAGGCAATAGTAAACTGAGTCCCCACCCTTACAAAGCTAGAATAAATAACTGCTGGCAACCAGCACAGAAACAGCAGTTTGAAAAACACCTGGGATATTCATGAAGGCAATTTATTTACTAATCTCAGAATGTGCGCCAGAGGGACAGGATCTTCAGACTTCTCCAAGAACAGAAGTGCTAAAGGGCACCATTTTTCTTTTCCTCTCCCAGGTTAGATAGCTGGACACTTGGAGAAACCAGCACTAACACTTGCCAACTACCTTGCTAGCATGGTGTGTCTGCCCATGCATTCACCTGCATTCCTACCCCATCCAATCTGCTCACCTCAGCAGACTCCCTCCAAAGTGGCTCCACTCCTGCCATACCTGCAAGCAGTCCCAGCAGGGACCAGTGCCACTCCAAAGTGACTCCTGCCCTGGGGAGAGGGGGATAACCCCACACACCAGCACACCCAAAGTTCCAGCAACTTTCAGCAGGCCACACAGGGAGAAAGCCCTGCCATTCAGAGGCTGACTGCACACACCTAGTCTGATTGCTTGCTCACCCACTTACAAGCCCACCAAGGCCTCTCAACAGTGCAGGAGCCAAACTCTGCCCAGTGTGCCCATAGCAAGCAAAGTAGGTCACTGCAGCCAATGGGGCTGAAGGCAAATGGGGCTCAGCGACAACAGTAGTGTGCATGCAGCCCATAGAGAAGACACCCCTGGAGCACCTGGCTCTGGTGACCAAGTGGCATTGTACTACAAGGCACCACAGGACCTCTTCAACACAAGAACACTAACTTTCAAGACCAAGATAGATAACTGATCTCCCAAATTCATGGAAGCAGAGTTACACAATATGAGACAGAGGAATATGTCCCAAATTAAAGAAGAGGACAAAAATCATAGCAAAAGAGTTAAAAGAAACTGCGATAAGCAATATGCTCAATAAAGAAATCAAGTAATAGTCACAAAGATACTCACTGGACCTGAGAAAAGAGTGGATGAATTCAGTGAGAACTTCAACGTTGATAGAGAAAATGTAAAACAGAACCAGTCAGAGATGAAGAATTCAATAGATGAAATAACACACTAAAGAGAACAGATAAGGGGAGGCAGAAGAACAGACCAACACTCTAGAAGACAGGATAATGAAAAGCAACCAAGCTGAAGAGTAAAAAAAAAAAAAAAATAGGATAAGGGAACTCAGCATCATCAAGTGTACTAACATTCATATTACAGGGATCCCAGAAGAAGGGAGAAGGGGGCAGAAAACTTATCTCAGGAAGGAAACAGACATCCATATCCAAGAAGCAAAGAGAACCTCCAACAAGATGAACCCAAGGAGGTCCATACCAAGACACATAATAATAAACATGACAAAAAGTAATAATAGAGAGATAATTTTAGGGGCACCTGGGTGGCTCAGTTAAGCATCTGACTCTTGATTTCTGCTCAGATCATGATCTCAGGGTTGTGAGATCGAGCTCTGCATCAGGATCCATGCTGGGCATGGAGGCTGCTTAATATTCTCTCTCTTCTTCTCCCTTTCCCCCTTCCACCCGTCCCCTCTAAAAAGGGTAATTTTAAAAGCAGAAAAAACAAACAAACAAAAAAAACGGGTGTATACAAGGAAAACCCCATAAGGCTATTAGCTGACTTTTCAGGAGAAACTTTATAGGCCACAAGATAGTGGCATGATGGGGCGCCTGGGTGGCTCAGTCATTAAGTGTCTGCCTTCAGCTCAGGTCATGATCCCAGGGTCCTGGGATCAAGCCCCACATCGAGCTCTCTGCTTGGCGGGAAGCCTGCTTCTCCCTCTCCCACTCCCCCTGCTTGTGTTCCCTTTCTCGCTGTTTCTCTGTCAAATAAATAAATAAAATCTTAAAAAAAAAAAAAAAAAGATAGTGGCATGATATATTCGAAGTACTGAAAAGAAAAAACCTGCAACCAAAAATACTCTACCCAGCAAGGTTATCAGAGTAGAAGGAGGGATCAAGTCTCCCAGATAAATAAAACTTAAAGGAGTTCATCACCACTACATGAGCTTTACACAAAACACTGACGAGAATTGTGAGTAGAAAGAAAAGGCCCTAACTAGAAGAAACTTAGGAAAATATTTCACAGGTAAGAGTAAACATAATAAAGTAGTAGATAAATCACTTACAAAACCAGCATGGAGGTTAAAAAGCAGTAAAATGAATTATATCTACAAAAGTCAAGATACACACAAAATGATGTAAGATAGGAAATATACATAAAATGTGGGTGGGGGAGTAAAAATATAATGCTGTTAGAATGTGTTCAAGCGTAAGCAACCACATCAACTTAATATAAACTGTCATATGTATGTTATATATGAACCTCATAATAACCACGAATCAAAAACCTATTAAGAGATACACAAATACATAATAAAAAGAAAGGAATCCAAGCCTAACACTAAAGAAAGTCATCAAACCACAAGAGGGCAAGAGAAGAGGAAAAGAACAGGAGAACTACAAAAACAACCATAAAATAAGTAACAAAATGGCAATAAGTACATACTTATCAACAATTACTTTAAATGTAAATGGACTACATGCTCCAATCAAAAGATATAGGGCGACCAAATGGATTAAAAACAAGACCCACCTATATGCTGCCTACAAGGGACTCTCTTCAGACCTAAGGGACACACATACAAACTGAGAGTGAAGGCTGGAAAAACATACCATGCAAATGGAAGCCAAAATACTTAGAACAAACAAAATAGACTTCAAAACAAGCACTGTACCAAGAGATAAAGAATGGCACTACATAATGATAAAAGGAACAATCCAACAAGAGGATATAACAAGTATCTATATACCCAACATAGGAGCACTCAAATACATAAAGCAGTTACTAACAAAGGGGGAAATTGACAGCAATACAATACCAGTGGGGCATCTTAACAACTCACTTGTATCAATGGGTAGAGCATCCAAACAGAAAATCAATATAGAAACAGTGACTTTGAACAAAGCATTAGACCAGAGGATAGATAGATAGAATATTCTATCCAAAAACAGCAGATACATTCTTTTCAAGTGCACATGCATCTATATATCTCTAAGATAGATAACCTCTTAGGCCACAAGACTAGTTTCAATAAATTTAGGAAGACTGAAATCATTATCAAGAATCTTTTTTAACCACAAAGGTATGAAACTAGAAATCAATTACAAGAAAAAATCTGGAAAGAACATAAATACCTGGAGGCTACATAACATGCTACCAAACAATGAATAGGTAACCAAGAAATCAAGAAGGAAATAAAAAAATACATGGAGACAAATGAAAATGAAAACACAGTGGTCTAAAATCTTATATGGTCAAGTAACCTACAACAAAGGAGGCAAGAATATACAATGGAAAAAGACAGTCTCTTCAACAAATGGTGTTGGGGAAAACTAGACAACTACCTGTAAAATAATGAAACCAAAAAAATTTCTTATGCCAGACACAAAAATAAACTGAAAATGTATTAAGACCTACATGTGAGACCTAAAACCATAAAACTCCTAGGAGAAAATATTGGCAGTAATTTCTTTGACTTCCATCAGCATTAGCAACATTTTCTAGGTAGGTCTCCTAAGGCAAGGGTAACAAAAAATAAACTTGGAATTATAACAAAAAGTTTTTGTGAATTGAAGGAAACCATTAGCAAAACAAAAAGGCAACCTACTGAATGGGAGAAGATATTTGCAAATGATACATCTGATAAGGAGTTAATATCCAAGATATATAGAGCTTATACAACTCAAAAACAAACAAACAAACTGATTTTAAAAAAATGGGCAGAGGCCCTGAACAGACCTTTCTCCAAAGAAGACACAGAAATGGCCAACAGACACATGAAAAGATGCTTAAGTCATTAAGCCTCAGGAAAACGCAAATGAGATATCACCTTATACTCGTTACAAAGGCTCTTTAAAAAATTTGAAGTAGAAATACTACATGATCCAATCATTCCACTACTGGCTATGGACCTAAAAAAAGATAAAAACACTAATTAGAATAGATATATGCACCCCTATGTTTACTGCAGCAGTATTTTCGATAGCCAAGATATGGAAGCAGCCCAAATGTCCAATGACAGATGAATGGATAAAGAAGATGCGGTCAAAATACCATCCACTTTTTTCAAAGAAATGGAACAAATAATCCTAAAATTTGTATGGAACCAGAAGAGACCCGAATAGCCAGAGGAATATTGAAAAAGAAAAGCAAAGCTGGCGGCATCACAATTCCGGACTTCCAGCTCTATTACAAAGCTGTCATCATCAAGACAGTATGGTACTGGCACAAAAACAGACACATAGATCAATGGAACAGAATAGAGACCCCAGAAATGGACCCTCAACTCTATGGTCAACTCATCTTCGACAAAGCAGGAAAGAATGTCCAATGGAAAAAAGACAGTCTCTTCAACAAATGGTGTTGGGAAAATTGGACAGCCACATGCAGAAGAATGACACTGGACCATTTCCTTACACCACACACAAAAATAGACTCCAAATGGTTGAAAGACCTAAATGTGAGACAGGAGTCCATCAACATCCTAAAGGAGAACACAGGCAGCAACCTCTTCGACCTCAGCCGCAGCAACTTCTTCCTAGAAACATCACCAAAGGCAAGGGAAGCCAGGGCAAAAATGAACTATTGGGATTTCATCAAGATAAAAAGCTTTTGCACAGCAAAAGAAACAGTCCACAAAACCAAAAGACAACCGACAGAATGGGAGAAAATATTTGCAAATGACATCTCAGATAAAGGGCTAGTATCCAAAATCTATAAAGAACTTATCAAACTCAACACCCAAAGAATAATCCAATCAAGAAATGGGCAGCAGACATGAACAGACATTTTTCCAAAGAAGACATCCAAATGGCCAAACAGACACATGAAAAAGTGTTCAACATCGCTCGGCATCAGGTAAATCCAAATCAAAACCTCAATGAGATACCACCTCACACCAGTCAGAATGGCTAAAATGAACAAGTCAGGAAACGACAGATGTTGGCAGGGATGCAGAGAAAGGGGAACCCTCCTACACTGTTGGTGGGAATGCAAGCTGGTGCAACCACTCTGGAAAACAGTATGGAGGTTTCTCAAACAGTTGAAAATAGAGCTACCCTATGATCCAGCAATTGCACTACTGGGTATTTACCCCAAAGATACCAATGTAGGGATCCGAAGGGGTACGTGCACCCCGATGTTTACAGCAGCAGTGTCCACAATAGCCAAACTGTGGAAAGAGCCAAGATGTCCATCGACAGATGAATGGATAAAGAAGATGTGGTATATATACAGAATGGAATATTATGCAGCCGTCAAAAGGAATGAGATCTCGCCATTTGCAACAACGTGGATGGAACTGGAGGGTGTTATGCTGAGTGAAATAAGTCAGAGAAAAACATGTATCATATGACCTCACTGATATGAGGAATTCTTAATCTTAGGAAACTGAGGGTTGCTGGAGTGGTGGGGGTGGGAGGGATGGGGTGGCTGGGTGATAGGCACTGGGGAGGGTATGTGCTATGGTGAGCGCTGTGAATTGTGCAAGACTGTTGAATCACAGATCTGTACCTCTGAGACAAATAACGCAACATTTTAAGAAAAAAAAAAGAAGATAGGAGGGGAAGAATGAAGGGGAGTAAGTCGGAGGGGGAGCAGAACCATGAGAGACTATGGACTCTGAAAAACAAACTGAGGGTTCTAGAGGGGAGGGGTGTGGGGGGATGGGTTAGCCTGGTGATGGGTATTAAAGAGGGCACGTGCTGCATGGAGCACTGGGTGTTATGCACAAACAATGAATCATGGACCACTACATCAAAAACTAATGATGGAATGTATGGTGATGAACATAATAAAAAATTAAAAAAAGAAGATGCGGTATGTAAATATACTATGGAATAGCAGTCAACCATAAAAACAGATCTTGTCATTTGTGACAACATGCATGGACTAGAGGGTATCATGCTAAATGAAGTAAGACAGAACAGACCATATGATTTCACTTACACGTGGAACTTAAACAAATCAAAAAACTGGTTCTTAAATACACAAACTGCTGGTTACCACAGGAATTCCCCAGTGGGTTGGGGAATTGGGCGAAATGGATAAAGGGGATTAAGAGGTACAAACTTCTAGTTATAAAATAATTAAGTCACAGAAATGAAAAGCATAGGGAATATAGTCAGTAATATAATAACATTGGATGACGACAACGGTGAATTGCTGAATCTATAGATTATGCACCTGAAACTAATATAACATTGTATGTTAATTATGTCAATTAAAAAGTTACAGAAAAATAAGATGAATCATCTATATTACTCAGTAAAAAATTTAGTAGAGCTTTGGGTATATATATATTTGATATAGAATGTAGTGTAGTATGTTATGTCTGTGTATGCATACAAAACCAAAGCTCTATTAGGTAATAGATATAGATATAAGCATATCAGGTCTGTGTACATATATATGTGTGTATATATATTTCTAGACTGTATGTCACACCTACTTCATAGAGTCACTGCAAAAACCAAACGAGATATATGTAAAAGATGAGAATAGTAAGTAACTAATAAGAATCATTGCAACAATTAACTTGTTTTGAATATAGTGAACTCTGAGAAAAATCCTGTGGTGATTTGGGGGAAATGTGTTGAAAGAATTTCAGAAATTCAATAGATAAATTGATTGATACTGCCAAATTTAATCCTGAGTTGTTTCCTTCCTCTCTGTTGAGGAAGAGCAGGTAGTTGTTAGGAAATGGATTTTTGAAAAGCACACCAAAAGTATCCACTAGATATAATCACTCTCTAAATTGTTTTGCTTGTACCTCATACTACAGTATACAGTCAAGTGAAGCTGGATGTGTCCAATTGTGCAACTTTTACAAAGTGAAAACAAAAGGCACTGCACTTTAGAGAAGAGTACAATTGCCCCCCAAAAGGTCTCATGCTACAGGGGACCTTAACCAAAACAGAAAGAAGTCCTATCATAACCCAAAGGGATCCCTGGATAATTGTGCTTGTGGGACAAGGGGGGCTGAATACAGTTCTTCCTCTACTGCAGAAGGAGGCCAAGTGAATTGACACTGTTGTTCTGAAGGTATGATACTGTGAGCATGTTTCATACCAAAAAACTATGTATTCATTTGTAAGCAGGAGGAAACTGAAGCATATAATGCTCTTTTATGTCTCTTTCAAATTAGAAAAAATGTACATGCTTGCTATTTTGAAACTTCTGGTGATTAGATATTAAATACAAACCAAGAGGACCTAGAGGGAAGAGTTAAGATCAAGATAGTTTTCTATCTTTGTAACCATCCAGAAGATAAACGAAATTTAGGATACTCAATACCCCCTAAATCCTAACCCCCCTCTCCACTACTCCAAAAGAGCTAAGCCCTGGCCTCATTTCATATGTATTTGTATTTTAAGAGATCCCTGAAGTTGGCAGATACCATGGATGTAGTAATCAGGTATACCAGAAATAAACATTACAGTCAAAACCCAATTGGCTAAGCTTCTCTATGAAAGATCTACAAGGAAATATGGGTTTCCTGAATGGCTAGCCATGACAGCGGGTGGTAAAATATACACATACAGACTGTAAGTGACAAGAACCTAGAAGGGATTGTGCCCTTTTGCCCACAGCAGATATCACTAATCAATTGTGGCATTTTCACTAAAACTGGGCTAAATCTCGAGAGTTCTCCTTTCACCGGGTACCTACAACCAATAACTGAAGCTGCAGTGAGAGATGAAACCTATTTGCCACCCTATGTAGTAACAATCAACTGTGACAGCACACATTTGGAGCAAAACCCAGGTACCAAAGACTGAGCATTCTGTATCGCTCTAATGCTTTGGAAACTTGCCTGTCCAGATGTAGGACATCCTAAAGCTTGTGCCACACTACCACTGGCTATTAGATTGGGCAAGGTGTATCACAGTCTCTCAGTTCACTGTAGAGAGAAGATCGCCTTATTAATGCTCCAAAATACAGATTATTCTCAAAGCTCTTCTATGGAAAAGACTGTATTTTATACCCTCCTATGTAGTTCCAGCACCAAAATTGATGCTTGGTAAATATTTGTTGAGTCAGTAATATTCAAAGAATGACAGTACTGAGTGAGCATAATGATCATCTAGCAGAATAGTCTGAGGATGAGAATCTGCTAAAAGCTAAGGGCATTCGCACGAGAAGCCGCGAAGACCAGGTGAAAAAGTAATCTCGCCCAACTCCATCTGACAGGTAAGTAACAGAAAGTTTGGAAAGAAAAGTAGCTTGCCCAAGGTCGTAGTGGCGGGATCAGAGGGGAACACGTCTCCTGACATCAGAAAGGAGTGGGAGGGGCAAAAGTTCTTAGCCAGGCATGCAAGGCATGTTTTCGGAAATTGCATGGTTCGCTTCTAAAGAGACCAAACTCTCTTCCAAAGACCCAGGGGCAAGAAAAAATACCAACACATCTCACTGCAGACCCAGGAGGGACGAACCCACCCTGCCTCCTCAGACTTCACCGCGCCCCACCACCTCCCCTCACCCGCCACCACTCTCCATGAAGGCATAGTGGGATCCAAGTCTACCATGCCCGTGGCTAAGGACTGCTAGATCACCTCGCTGCCGGCAATGCTCCACCTGACAGTGCTGACCTACGTCCAACTCCGCCATCACAGCGCCGCAAGAGGCGGGGCTACGGCGCACGCGCGGCGCCTCCTGGGAGTGTGGCCGACCTCTGGGCGGAGCCTGCCGCCTAGCTGACGCGTCCACCGGAAGAAGTCAAGCTATTGTGAGTGCGGTGAGTTGTGAGTGTATATGCGATTTAGGCGTCTAGCTAGGCGGCGTGAAGAAAAGGGAGTTGGTCTGTTTGTCTTTTTCCTGGGCGGAAGTCTTCGCGGCCAGTCCTTAAGGAAATACCCAGTTACCCTTCTGGAAGGCTGCGTGCTGAAGTTCCCTCCGTGCTGCAACCCACCTGGGGACGACTTCACAAAGATGGTCTTTTTTTAATTGATGTAAATCTCCGAACCGGCACAGTGCTTGGCACAAGCATTTGCAATAATCAAGTGAAGGACCTTATTCAATTCCGTATTTGTCCTGCACCAGTGTTAGTTACTTAATATGGTTTACAGTAGATCCCTCTTGCAAGGGATTCATTAGGCTTGTTGAAAAGTAAAGGTTTTTTATTTGTTTTTTTAATGGGGGAGGGGGGAGTCTGTAGCTCTTGAGGTCCCAAGTGTGTACTGAACCGCATTGAGTTCCTCAGTTTAGAGAGCCCCGTCTCATTTAACACAACTGAAGAAAGCTTTTGATTCCATTGGGCAGAAGGGCAATCTCATGTATTTGATGAGCCACTTCAAAGGCACCAAGGAAGTAAAGGCTCTTCTAGGTGGGGTACAAATGGATGCCATTCCATTGATGTGACACCAGACATGACTCAGAGTGGGATGAGCGGCAATCAAAAATGTACTCATGACAGGAACTGGAAAAAATATTCAATGCCTCGTATATAACAGGGTCTATCCAAATCAATATTCATTGAGAAGGGGAAAGGGTGAGATTGGGAAATAGTTATTACTTCAAGATTTGCTCTTGCATAAATCTGTTTAAGATTTCCATTAAAGACTTGCTTGGGTCTCTGGAGAAACTAGATTTTAGAGCTAGAAGCAACCGATCATTTAGTTATCCCAGCATCAGTTTTGTTTTTGTTTTAAGATGAGAAAACATGTTCATAGCATTCAAATGATTTGCCCAAATTAGTGGAAGAGCCAGGACTAAAATTCAAGTATCAAAGACTTCTGGTATTCTTGAATTTAAGAATCAGCAGCTTACCTGATTTTTATGTTTCTTTTAGCTGGTTGGGTCAACCAATAGCAGGTTTTCTAGAGTTTTACTAAGTGTTTAGAATGTCCTAAATAGGTGGCAAATATTTTATCAGTCCAATCATAAAATTAAAATACTCTTATTTTTTCAGTTCACTTACCCTGGGAGTATAAGGAGCATCAGATAGAGTAGCCAAGGTTGCAGTTGCTAGCTCTTTCATCTCTAGTCTCCTTTGCCAGTTTCTCCTCTAGGTGCTACTTCAACATGTGTTTCCCCTTAATTTTGTGCTTGGTCCATTTATCAATTTACATACTCATAAAAGTGAAATTCCTCTGGTTCCAAATGACTCCCATAACCATATTCTTTATCTTGAGAACTTTCTCCCAGACTGAAAGGTTCTGTCTGTAGGCATATTCACTTAGTGTTGTCTGTCATATAAAACTTAAACCAGGGCCTCCTGGGTGGCTCAGCGGTTAAGCGTCTACCTCCGGCTCAGGTCATGATCGCAGGATCCCAGGATAGAGTCCTGCATCGGGCTCCCTGCTCAGCGGGAAGGCTGCTTCTCCCTCTCCCACTCCCCCTGCTTGTGTTCCCTCTCCCACTCCCCCTGCTTGTGTTCCCTGTCTCTGTCAAATAAATAAAATCTTTAAGCAAAAACAAAAACAAAACTTAAAACAAAATGGGATGCTTTCTCACCCCTCCCTAACAAAGGCAGTCTACCACATTGGAAACCCTGAATTTATTCTTTGCCACTCCGTTCTTATTTCTCTCATGGAAGTAGCCATTAAACTCTATCAATTATGCCTCAGAAAGTTCTCACATGTATACTCTTCAACTGTTCAGGTTATTTCCTCCCCAAAAAACTCACTCCCTTACCTAAGATCTTCTGATGGTTCTCCATTATTCACAAGAGATTAATTTAGTAAGGAAAAGCTTTATTGGTAAAGCTTTTCACAATCTCAGCCTCAGCAATAACTACTTCCCCTCAAGCGCCCTACTCTCCAATAATTTCCTAAATGTATCTTCTGCTTCTTTCATATGTACATGCCTTTCCTTGTCCCTTGAATGTACTCTATACCAGTCTTCCAAACTTTGAGAATAAGAATCAGGTGGGGTGCTTGTTAGTAAGTACAGCTGTCCATACCCCTCCCTGGGTCTAATTTAGAGGGTCTGGGATGGGTCTTGGGAAGCTAGATCTTTAACAAGTGCTCTCACGTTCATTCTTATCAGATCAGTTTAAAAAAAAAAAAAAGGTTTCTCTTTTACTCCACCTTCAGAATATAATTATTATCCTTTCAACTGGGAAAGCTTTGAGTGCTCAAACAAAATTCAGCCCTCCAACACCTGCTATGGTAGCAATCGCTATGTACTAGCCAGCAATATTGTAATTCACCTGACCAAAAACAAAAACAAAAACCTTCAGTGGATTCTATTAGCTAGCAAATAAAATCGGCACTCAATTTAGCAAACCTATCCTAGATTTGATACAAAATTGAATAAGACATGGTCTCTGACCTCAAGGAGCTCACAAAGTCTAGGGAAGAATATCTCTGCTTGGCATTTAAAGTCTTTCAAATTTTTTGCCCAACCTACCTTTCTAATTATCGCTTGAAGGCCTCTCCGTAGTCTGTGCTCACCATAGCCTCAGACCCCTAAAGGTGCTGCTCCTTCTATTTGGAATGCTCTTTCACTTTCCCATTTGAGCTGGTTTGTTTCTACTTTTCCTTTAGCGGTTACCTCGAGTATCTTTTCCTTAGGAAATTCTTTGTTCTCCTGACTAGGACAAATCCTGCTGTTACTACATTCTGTATCTCCTTCAAAGCATTTGTCCCAGATTTGATTTTGTATTTGTATGATTATTTGATTAGCATTTGTCTCCCCGTCTAAGCTGTAAGCTCCATGAGGACAGGGGCCTGGTTTTGTGACTATATATTCACTGTAGCACTCTTTGTTAATCTGTCTCCCTATGTTTATGCAGTCTTCTGCAGATTTCTTATATCTCTGAATAAGTTTATTTTGCATACCATATTCTACATTAAATCTTTGAACATCCTAAGTTCAAACCTTAACAGTTATAACAGCTAAAATTCTTTGAGTACTTTATTATGTACCAGGCACTTAGATTGATCATTTAATCTTCACACTTTCAGATATTATTGTTCCCATTTCATAGAATTTCCTTATAAAAATTATTCACCTCCTGCCTCCTTGTCTCCAGCATCAGAAACTACTCTCCCTCTTCATCTCCTCACTGACTTAATCAATTATATTTACCAGCTATCTTCCTGGTGAACCTCATAAACTAATCTCTTAATCTGGAATTCTTTCTCCTTTCCCCAATTTACCTGGCTATCTCCTCCTCATCTTTCAGCTCTCAAAAGAGGCTTTTAAGACCTGCCCCCTGCCCCCCGCCGGTTTCCTATTGTTGCTGTAACAAATTACCACAAATTTAGTAGCTTTAAACACTAAATTTTTTACCTTACCTTACTGGAGGTCAGAAGTCATAAAACCCGTGTGTTGGCACGGCTGTGTTCCTTATGAAAGTTCAAAGGGAGGCTCCAATTTCTTGTCTTTTTCAGCTTCTAAAAACAACCTGTGTTCCTTGGCTCATAACAATCCCTTCCTCTATCTTTGAGGACAAAATGGCATCCTTGAATGTCTCTCTTCCTGCCCTTCATGCTTCCCCACTTCCATCAGTCTCCTCTCGCTCTGACCCTTCTGCCTTCCTCTCTTAAGAAGCCTTGTGGTTACATTGGGCCCACCTGGATATTTCAGGCTACTCTCCCCATCTCAAGAGCCTTAACTCAATCACATCTGCAAAGTCCTTTTTGATATATAAAGAAACAGTTACAGGTTTCAGGCAATGATGTTGGCTAATTGAATTTAAATAAAAAAATAAATAAAATAAAATGCTTTTGGAGGGGTTGTATGTCAATGTTGACTTGTTCATTCACTGATTCAGTAGACATTTTTTGAGGCCTTACCATGTTTCAATTCTGGGAAGTATGAAAACGTGTATTGGAGTAGGTAAAATAATGGTCCCATAAAGTTGTCCACACTCTAATCCCTGAAATCTGTAACTGTTTTTTCACCCTGCTCACTTGTTCTCTCTCTCTCTTACTCTCAAATAAATAGGTAAATCTTTTTTTTTTTTTTTTTAAAAAGGAAGGCAAAAGGATAGTGAAGAATGAGAAACAGTATTATGTAAAAGGGCTAATGCTTAGGGCTTAATCAGCAGAATTGAGGAAAGATGTGAAGCAAAGAAAACCACCCCCATCATCAAGACTACCATGACCACTATTATTATAGCAGCCAATGTGCATGTGTGTTTTGGAAAGCATCATCTTTTTTAGCAACAGTTTGTTCCAGAAGGAAACTTTGTAACATTTTCATAAGTGATTACTTTTTAGAGGGGTAATTTAGTTGTCCTGATAAACATACATAAAATTATTTTGAAATGATGACTTAAATTGTATTTGGGCACAAATTGGATATTCACATTAATTAACTGTAAAGTTTTCTTTGTTTTTTTACATTCATGAAGCTTTATTTTTCCTCCAAAACAAGTCTGGGCTTCCAAGACTGGCACATCAACATCTTTCCCCCTCAGACCCAGATGGGGAGTCATTTCTTTTTTTTTTTTTACCCTTTATTTTTTATTTATTTTTTTCCCATAGGCTCCACGCCCAGCATGGAGCCCAACATGGGGCTTGAACTCACAACCCTGAGATCAAGACCTGAGCTGAGACCAAGAGTCAGACTACCACCCAGGCACTGAACCACCCAGGCACCCCAGGAATCATTTCTTACTAAACACCTGTACCCCTCAGGCAGAGATAGTGGGGAAGGGAAAAGCCCCT